AGATTTTTACTGTAGGGCGCGTGCGCTCACCAGACAGACAGAGAGAGACATAGAGACAGAAAGCGAGAAATCAACCCCCAGGGGGGATGGTCACGCCGCAATCCCTTCTCCTCCATTCTCCTCTCAGGATCTTGGGCACGCACGCACACGCGCCCGGCGTGAGTTTTAAGCCACCGGGTCCGGGACACGAACCGTGGTCGACTACGTGGGAGTCCAGCGACATAGCCATTACGCTAACTGCTGGTTCCTCACACTACATAACTCTTAAAGGTCCCCCACAACTTGGATTCTGCTTCTCCATGGGCTTGACAGGGTTTCTCCAACACCCATGCATTTTCTCATGAGCACTCTCTGCAAGACATGCTGTCGCATCCTCGCTCATCCTCAACTTCCTGGTAAATCCTGACTCACCTTTCGAAGACAGCACAAGGTCCCTCATCCCCCATCCCTGGCACTTAGCAGCCCCCCTTCCCTGCCCCTCTCATTGCCCATATCACCCTGTCCTGTAGTTCTGTTTCATAGCCTCTCTCCTTGAACAAGGAACTTCTTGAAGACAAAGACCAGGCCTGAGATCTCCCACGTGCCCAGGGTCCAGCTCAATCTTTGCTTCGGGAATTAAATCAACTTTGGGGCTCAGCTTGTTTTGACTTCTTTAAAACATCAGCTGGTCTGCAGCTAGAATCCTTGAAACTTGTTCTGAAGATTACACAGGGCGGGACCAGCAGTTAGCGTAATGGCTATGTTGCTGGACTCCCATGTAGTCAACCGCGGTTCGCGTCCTGGACCTGGTGGCTTAAACTCACGCCGGGCACATGTGCGTGCATGCCCAAGATCCCGAAAGGAGAATAGAGGAAAAAGGATTGCGGCGTGGCCATCCCCCCTTGGGGGTGATTTCTTGCTTTCTATCTCTTTGTCTCTCTCTCTGACTCTCTCTCTGTCTGGCGAGCGCACATGCCCTATAGTAAAAATCTCTTCTAAATAAATAAATAAATAAATAAAAAGATTACACAGGGCAAGCAATTAGTGACTTCACCTACATACAAGAAAAGGCAGAGTTTTCATGTTTTCTAGCTTGCAAGTTGCACGCAATTCATTTGATATTTCTACCACATTAACATTCAAGAAATAAGTTCTGTTCTTCCGGTTTTATCTCTAAAGCAGAAATGGACATTTTCTAGTTGGAATTGCTAGATGTCTATCTAGTTGGAAAGTGAGGCGTTAGCAGCCTGTTGGGACGTGTCATGACTGGGATTGCTTGGAAAACACGGAGGCCCAGGAGTTGCAGTGTGGCAAAAGACTCCGAGTCACAGCCAGCAGAAATAGGGGTCTTCTGTTCCTGGGGACCCCCTCTCACTGTGAGTTTGGGAATCTGAACAGGGGCCCTTTCTGACAGTAAGCTTCCTGTAGAACCTTGTTACTCTGCTCACACGAACTCTCACCAGTGTCCAACTGAGAACAGAATGGTTCCTTCCAGAGCACCTTAACCCTCCATCTTCCAGGTGGGGAAGCCAAGGCTCAGAACAGGGAAGGAGTGACCCGAGGTCACAAAGCTAGCTACCAGTGGCACAAAGGGACAATGGAGAGAACTAAATTGAGTCTTTCCTTTGTCCCACTGGTAATCCCCAAATCCGGCCAGGCTGGACACGTGAATGACAGTGTTAACTCACTCCCCTCAGGCAATTTGTGGTATCAGTCTAGGTGTTTCCCCCAAACATTAAAATGGAGAAGCCTCCAAAATGAGCCCTTCCGTGTGTATCTCTGGGTGATGAAGAGACACAGTGGCTCAGACGCTTGTGTTTTAAAGCTCCGTGGGGAAAAGGAGCTCAGGACCTATGGAGAAGAGCTGGGAGTTCTGACTTCTTAGGCCCAGAGAACAGGGCAAATGTCCTCCAGAATGACTATCAACACCACTGCTGGAGTTGGGGCTCTTCCTGCCCAGTGGGTAAACATGACCTTGGGAAGAGGGCGACTGGTTTAGGGTGAGAGGACCCAGAGGAGCATGCAGCCCTGGTTTTACTTCCCGTTTCTGTGGGCAGAACCTACAAGACACCTTAACAGAAGGGCCTGCTGTTCTCATTCTTTGCAGAAAGTCTCCTCGTGAAGTTCACGGTCACTGCTTAATGAGAGCCTACAGAAGTGGCTTGTCCTTTAAGACCAACAGAACAAAACAAAACAGGAAGAGAAAGAGGATGGTCAGGAGCCCAGTGGGTCCTTGACCAAGCCTTCATACTTGGGGTGGGCTCTGGCTGTCACACGGAGAAAACCGGAAGTGCTTTAGCACCCAGGTGGCTGGGCCCCTCAGAACCATGCCTTTTTCCAGCCCCACTGGGTTGGCCGCTCTAGGCCCAGCACTGGGAAGAGCCACGTTGAAGGGTCTCCACCCTGCAAGGCCTGACCTACTGATCCCCGAAGACGGTTTCCTCAGATCTATTAATAACCAACACGTGGTAAGGGGGGAAGTCCTCCTGCATGTTCCTTTAAAAACTCCTGGGTGGCCAGGGAAGCTGTCTTCCCAAGAACCTCATTTAGTAGGTGGGAAATGTTAGGGGGCCCGCCCAAGGGCAGAGTCAAGTAGACTCCTCCTTCTCACTTATTTCTGGTCCCTCAGTGATTCCCAATGGCTCTCACTGGGTAGTCAAGAAACATTAGCTGAATTCAACTAGACCCGAGTTGGAATTCCTAGCCAAGTGCTTTTTCTCTGAACCACTTATTCTCAAACTTGACCAACTAGGAGAATCACCTAGATCATCTTCAAAAGTGCCAATGCTGAAACCCACTTCCAGAGGGGGGGATGGAATGTTCTGGGTTGTGGCCTGGACACTGACTTTTATTATCATTCTCTTTCTGAAGCTCCCAGGAGGTTCCAATGTGCCACGGGGCTGAGAGCCACTGTTCTAAACCACACCTGGCGTTGGGGTTGAGAATGATCAGTCTCTCGGTCTTCGGACAACACCTCCTCTGCTCCAAGAAAAGCGCTTCAGGGTTTGGGTCTGGAGGAAAATGGAGAATAACCTTCAACTTGCCCTTGGAAATAAGCCGTCCATCCCCCACCTTTAAAAGACACAGGAAAGGACAAGGTTTGGAGATCAAGTTAAATGTCCAATTTATTTTTATAACTTGAAACCAGAACAAACTTGGTTTTGAACAAGCGTACAAATGAAATGGCAGACACATGCTGAACTGAACAGTGTGACATTACGGGAAAAAAGAGGCCCAAAATCTTGTACAGAGAATAAAAGGAACAATAAATATTTTACTAAGCCATATTGAAATGACCTCCTGTCATCTCAACATTTTATCCATAATAATAAAAAAAAAAGTGCCCGTTTCTTAAACAGAGCACAAATACCAAGCAATAATAAATAGTTCCAAACTTGTAGTAAAAGACAAACCCTCCAGGTAAACAACAAAAGCTCATACAATAAGTAATAGAAAAGGTAATAAAAATATTTTGCCTTGCCAGTACAAATGCAAACAACTTAGATCAATGAAACTTTGCTTTGCTGGGCAGAGCACAAGAGCACCAAAGTCCCGGGTTTGCCTGTGCCCCCGGAGCCTTCGGCCGCGGGCGCTGAGCACTGGGAGGAGAGGCCGATCTCCTTACTTTTCACATTTTCCTTAGAGTGGTTCAGTCTCCTCCACTCCCCGCGAAAGACCCTCTAATGGCAAGTGGCAGGTTCCAATTTGGGGCAACTTTGAACAAAGTTGTGGCAGTGTGGAAACCGGCCTGAGGTCGGCTGGGTCACCCTCTCACTGGGTCACCTGCCTCGGCGTTGGGTTTTTTAAACACGTAAGAGAAGCAGAATTCTCTTTCCTCTGCCGTCGACAGAGACGCACAATCCTTGTGCTTTAGGATGGCTTAGTCCTGGCTTTCTGGTGACTCTGTGTAAGCTGGTGAGCGCTGGCTAGCTTTCAGAACTACGGGAGGACCACGCGGAGGACTGTGTGCAGTGACAGAGCAGGACATCCGGGCGGGGAAGAGCAGCCCTGGTCTTCGGGCAGGGCAGGAGGGAAACTGACACCTCAGCTGGGGCTCGCTCCCTCCTTTCTCATAACGTCGCAAAGGTGAGTGGCAAGGAGCAAAGAGTGCATCAAACAGAAAAAGCCCCCGGAAGAAATATTCTGCATTTGGTAAAGAATTACCCAAAGGATGCTTGGTTATACTTTCATAACCTGAAATCATGATTTCTTACATTTCCTGAAATTAAAAAATGGCTTCCTGATATAGGTATTTTGTAAAAATGCATTATTCCCTCATCCAAAAAACCACCACTTTATTATCTTAAAGCTACTTGGCTTTACAAAAAAAAAAAAAAAAAAAAAAAAAAAAAAAAAAAAAAAAAAAAAAAAGGAAAAGAGGGGAAGAAGGACAGAGAGGAAGGAAAGAAATTAAATAAGGAAAAATTTGGAAAAAAGAAGAAAGGACTCACGGAGGATGGAGAGTGGAGAGGAGACACCGAGGAAGAGAAAGATCTGATCTGGAAAGGCACCTAATTCATGGCATTCGGAAATGGACGGAATGTGGGTTTCAAAGAGAAAGCAGCAAAGCAGGTAAGACAGACAACAGGCCGATACTCTCCGTGGGATGCCATGGCAGGATCTCCTTCCCGAAACCCAGATGGCAAGGGTCCCAGCAGCAGGTCACGTCACCTGCACCTAGCTTTCACACCAGCTCGTCTCTACGCTTGGTCTGTCCCGTGTTCTCAAGGACTAAGATGTTCGGTCTGCACTTCTTTCTGCTCTGAAGGGCGGGAGAGGTGTGGGGTGGTGGTAGCCGCCACAGGCTGATGGTGAAGGCAGACGACCTCTCCCGCTCTCCTCTCCATCTGACATCTTATGGATGGCCTCTAGAGGAAGGGAGGGCTGTGGAATGTTGCCGACATCTTTACAGAAACTGATTTTTCCACTCAACACTAATAAAGAATTTCCCATCCCGTCTGCTGTGGCCACACCAAGGAGCCTTGATGCAAGGTTCAGGGCCTTCAGAACGAAGCCCAAAGCCAACAGTTCTTGTGTAGGCCAATTCCGACAACAATATACACAACTAAAATGATTGGTGAACCAAAGCATTTAACTACTTCCTTTTGTCTTTTTCTCGAAGGTTGTCAAACAACCCTTTTTTTCTCCTGTACAATAGGACTTAACATACAAATTTTTTTTTTGCAATATTTTATCCTGCCAAATTAAAAAAATATATTATGGCAGCCTGTTTGTTTTTGTTTTTTTTTTCTTTTTATTTCCAAATTCACTAACACAGAGGTACATTAAATCCCTTTAAAAGGACAAGCTTACAGTTAAAAAATTACAAGCTCCAGTAAAAATACAGCAAGTGCCTACATTATATGAACCAACCAATATATCCATTCCAGAGGGAGGTGGGAAGAGAAAAATAAGTACAGGTCAGAAATGTGATTTTTTTTTCTGCAAAGCAATAACAATATTAAGCACTTTTTTTTCTACATACTTTTTCTACATGGTGTAGCAATCCCCTTTTAATCCCCAAATACAAGTTTCTATACATTTTTTTTTGAAATAAAAATTCAACACCCAAGGCAGAAAAAAATTTACTAAAACTCCGACTTTACAGTTACTTTGACAAGAACAAATTTATAGACCCACCATTTAAATTTTACTGCAACATTTTCAAGGAAAAGAAAAGGGTTTTTTTTTTTTTCTTGTTTTGTAAAATGCCCAGGCATTCTCAATTATTACAAATACTGGTCCACTTTTACAGTAATCAAGAAATTTTAATATATATAATATATACTAAAACCCCGTCACCAAAAGAAAACAATATACACGCGGCCACTGTGGCATTTTCGTATAACCTATTAAGCAAACTTTGAAAAAAATGATCGCTCCAACACACATACACACAATTTTTTTTTTACCCTTGTATGTATCCAATACTGTAAACGTATTTTTAAGACAGAGTGCACTAAATTTAACTTTAGAAAAAAATCAGCCGTTGTTCCTGAATTGTTTTTGTTTTGTTTTTCATTCAACGATATCAACTTGTAACTTGTGTCACTGGAGTTTTAATTCAGCAGTAAATCACCTCCACTCCGTATCTAAGCAGCGCTGTCCCCAAAACAGAAGGGGCTGAGGGGAATTCAGCTAAAGGGTATCCAAGGTTGTGCTGGGTTTATTTCTTCATTTGATTGGGTCTTATGGCATTTTCACGTCCTCTATCTTCAACCAGGATTTTTTTTTCTTTTTTTTTTTTTTACTTAAAGTAAATGTGGCTTGGTTTGTTTCTAAAGAATGTACTTTTCTTGTTTTACTTTTTAAAAAAGTCTTTTCATTTCAAAAACAAAAACAAAAAAAAAAAGAAAGTTTTGCATTTGTCTCAAGAGACTCAAATAGGAAGATCAGTTTTCAAGGCACTCACATCAAATTGAATGGCAGTAGAAAAACTGTCCGATAAATTATTAGTTTCTTTTGTTTTTTAAAGTGCCAGTATTGTGAATGCCACGCTTAGCAACACTGACACTCAATCTCAGCTGTCCTTACAGTTTAACCCACCGCTGGGCCAAAGAGAAGAACATGCTGCAATTTCTTGTTTAGAAGCCATTGAATTTAAATGCAAACAAAAGCTTTAAAGTGCGGGTCAACAGAATTCAAATGTCTAATTCTAACAGTCCAATGCTCAGTACCTTCCAACCTAATGAGACCAAAAACAAAACAAAACAAAACAAAACAAAACAAAAGGAAACTAGCGCTGGGCACCTTCAGATGGAGCTTTCCCCTACTTCTCCAGTACAAGGGAGCGAAAGTTCACAAGTCCCCCCTTGTCCCTGCACAGTCATCAGCGTGCATTCAATGAGAACACTAACTTCCTCAGCTGGCCGTCAGAGCATCTGTCTGATGAGCCGGGATCGTTACCACTGGCAGCCACGCAGGGCTTGCGGTATATGTGGTGGGGAAGGAGAGAGAGGCCGCCTCGCCAGAAGCCCGAAGGAACACCACTGGTTTCTCCCTTTCTGTCACCACGGCCACCGCCATCTACCCAAAATGTACCCTCAGCCCATTCCGTTGAGCCTAACTCACGGCAAAGAGCAGAGGTGGCCTCCCAGGGCATACCACCTACCGAGAAGAGACAGTATGGGCTGGTGGCGCCTGTGGGCCATTTCTCAGAGTAGCCCTGCAAACCGCTTTCTCTGGTGGTGCCGAGTTAGTGGGGTGCCCCTCCACCATCACCACTGAAAGGGCCCTACAGAATGGGAAAGTTGAAATCAACACAGGAAAAGGCCTCTGTTACCCAGGACGCATCAGTGCTACACCTCCGCTCCAGCTCTGAAACAAAGTGCTACAACTTTAAAGATTGTTATCCGCTGTACATCCACACCCCCGTCAAAAACAAAACAAATCAAAAATGCATGCCACTTTATTTCAGGACCGAAAAACACACAAACAAAAAAAAAGGAATAAAAAAGTAAACAACTTTAAAAGTCATTTAAGTGTTGGCTTCTTCACAAGAAATTACACATGCTTAGCTTAAATTTCAAAAAAGCAGCGCCCCCCCACCCCAAATTATAATTTAAAAGATATGCCCCCCTCTGCATTGCTTGCGAGACATTGCTCAGGCTACCACTGGGTTTTTGTGTTTTTTTTTTTTAAATGAAGAAGGGATGGCTACCCAACAAAATCTTTTAAAGGAATTTCAACAGAAAGAATAATAATAAAAAGTACCTGCACATGCCAAAAAAATGACAAAACCCAATAAATACAGAAATTATTGCACAGTTAAAAGGCTCCACAATTTTTACGGCCTTAATCAACCCTCGGGTTTCCATAGGACTTCGCAGACACAGGTTAGGTTGGAGTGCCGCCTCCCCTGGGCCCCGGGGACACACGGGGCGCGAAGCGGCGGTGACACGGAGGCAAGTCAGGTGAGCTTTCTCTCGTTGGCCACGGTTCCACTGTACAGGTGCGGGGTGCCCGGCCCGCGCGCTTAGCTCCTCTCGGCCTGCTCGATTTTGACGTCGTTAGTCAGCAAGTGCTCGCCGTGCCACTTTTTCATGTGTTTCTCCAGGGTGCTGTAGACGCTGAAGGGCATCTGGCAGATGTCGCAGCGGTACACCTCCTTGCCGATCTGCCCGTGCGTCTTCATGTGGCGCGTGAGCTTGCTGCTCTGCGCGCACGCGTAGTTGCACAGCTCGCACTTGTAAGGCCGCTCGCCGGTGTGGCTCCGCCGGTGCACCGTCAGGTTGCTGCAGTTCTTGAACACCTTGCCGCAGTACTCGCACGTGTCGCTGCGCCGGCCCTCCTTGGAGCTCGGCCGCCCGGGGCCCGGGCCGCCC